TTCCGGGCGGCCGGGGCGGCGCGGTGTCCCGCCGGTGTTCCGCCGGTGTCTCGTCCGTGTCCTGTCGGTGTCCCGATGATGATGTTGATGATGATTATGATGATAATTATGATGATGATGGTGATGATGATGGTGATAATGATGATGATGATGATGATGATGATGATGATGGCGATGATGATGATGGTGATGGTGATGTTGATGTTGTTGATGATGATGACGTCGATTGCGAGATCGATTGTGATATCGGTAATGAGACCGAATGTGAGATCGATTGTGCGATGCTGATGGTGATGATAGCCTTCATGGTGCTGATGTTTGTGATTATGATGACGACACTGATGATGATAATGGTGATGTTGATGATCATGCTGAGTACGATGATGATGATGCTGATGATGATGATGTTGATGGTGATGTCGATGATGATGATGATGATGACGACGTAGACTCGCGGCTGTTGGTCGTGCCTTGCGCGACCGCCGTCCACAGGCAGGGCCCCGAGCACGTTGGGTCGGGGTCCGGGGGGCTCGGGTGTCCCAGGGGCCTTGATGCGGGTGTCCCAGGGGCCTTGCGGGCCCGGGGGTCCTCGGCGCTCAGGGCCTCCCAGGGTTCAAGGGTCCAGTCTGGGGGTCGAGGGTTCCAGGGGCTCGAGGCCTCCAGAGGTTCAGGGGTTCAGTCTAGGGGTCGCCATCACCATCACCATCTCATAATCATTACCACCATCAACAACATCATCACCATCGCCGGGACACCACCGTCAATTCTCGTACCATTCACGGATTTTGGCTCAAGGCTTCTGTTGCACTCGACGCGCGGGGTTCCCCCCCAACGCGCCCACTTCGGTCACGCACTTCCTTCGGCTTCGCTACGAGGGGCCAGGCTTTGCCAGCCGAAATGCTCGACAAAACTGTGGAGACGCTGAAGAACATGAACACCCAGACGGCCAAGTACGCCAAGTGGTACGTGAGGGTCCTCGACCCGAAGGTCATTGATTACACGTTCACAGCGAGGAACGAAGAAGTGGAGGCGCAGAAGTTCAGTTGCGTTTTGGTGTCCAAAGCGCCCGCGCAGTACATGCTCGGCGCGGTGCCTTTCAGTTTCAAGAATCGGGCTGCGAGAGAGATCGATGATGAGATCGATTGTGAGATCGATGGTGAGATTGATCGAATGAGATCGATGAGTGAGACCGATAAAGAGATCGAGTGTGAGATCGATAGTGCAAGAGGGGGCGCGGGCTGCGCCAAGCTTTGCCGGCGCTTCAGTCTTCTGTGGCCAAATGGCGCCGTTAGCTGCCGTTGCGCAAGTTGGGCAGGTTCCCAGGGGGAGGGCCGAATGGTACCAAGGCGCCAAAGAGCAAAGGGTGACGTAAACAACTCGACACCAACGCTCCCAAGAGCGAGCGGCAACGCAACTATCTCCACTGGCACTGTCACAACAACATTCACCACTGTTGCCCATTGTTGGGCCCCTCCCCCCCCAACCTCCTTATCACCCGCAGGGTGGTCGTATAGGTATACCTCGTTGTTTATCACAAATAGTTTCGCCGGCCTCCTTCAAGCAATGCACCGAGGGAAAACAAAACTAAAAGAGAACCCTGGGCCGACGCCCTTTCCGGGAAAAACAGGATGGTGATGATCATGACGACGTTGCTACTCATGATATTCAGATCACAACTACGATTGGTACTTGGCTCGCCCGATGAATCAAGTCCAACCTCGCCAATCCGACAAAAAGTGTCTTTTCAGATCACAACTACGATTGGTACTTGGCTCGCCCGATGAATCAAGTCCAACCTCGCCAATCCGACAAAAAGTGTCTTGGCCGGAGATAATGAACACCAGGGACTCAAAGGTGGAATAGATCATCATCCCAGCAAAGGGCTACTCGGGGGAGGCTGAGCATCGCAAGCTACAGCCGTGACGCAACTCGAAGCATGGCAGAGGGCCCAGTGCTCTCACGGCTCTCGGGCCTGGCAGTTGCGGAGGCGTTGACGGGCGCGTCCACCGGGTCTGGGGTGATGGCCGCCCTCGCCGGGGAGTGTGACAGAAGGGTGCCCGAGGACGCCGCAGCGAGTCGCCAGCCGTGGCAAGGGTTTGCCCAGAACTCGGTCGCTGAGGGTGGCAGGGTAGCCCACAATTTTCCCAAGTAGCCTCAGCAGAAGGCTGTCCCCGTCCCTGGTTGCGAGGAAGAGGGCTCTCAGCCCTCGCGGACCAGGAGGCCTGAATTAGAATCACTCCTGGAGGAATGGCTGCCCACTTGGCCCAATGCTTCCAGGAACGGGTGAAGCCATCCTGTCTCGTGGCCGCATGCTCATTCGTAACCAGGGACTTCGGCCGGTGGTGTAGACAGGGCGCTAGACTGTTTCGCGAGAGCCACAGCGCTAGGATTAGGAGGCCACATGCGAATGACGAACGAGCAACACACATCCATACCCATAGGGGTGTCGTTGAGAGGAGGACTGGCTATGGGTATGGCTGCGGGTTGTCAGACCCTGGGGAACGCTCCCGTTCGAGCGGGGACCCCCATTCGACAATACGCACCCATAGCCCTCTCCGACCCCCCTATGGGTATGGGTGTGTGCTGTTGGTTCGTCATGCGAACCCCCAAACGAAGTGAACCCCGCCCTCCCTCTCAGAAATCGTGGGGGGGGCAGGGGCAGGGCTCGCACGTGGCCCCCGAAGGTCGGGACCCGCTTCCCCCCAGGCGTTTGCAGCAGCTGCCCCACGATTTCCTCCAGCGATCTGCGGATGGACTGGGCGCGCTAGGTTTAGGAGGCCACATGCGAACCCCCAAACGAAGTGAACCCCGCCCTCCCTCTCAGATATCGTGGTGGGCAGGGGCAGGGCTCGCATGTGACCCCCTATTCTTGGCCCCCGCGGCCCTCACGGGTCGATCCGTCTGAGAGGTGCGGCAGGAGGACGGGGTCCAGGAGCCTGCTCGCAGGTAAAACTGGCGATGTTGCCCCGTTTCGCGACGTCGGGTCTCAGAGATCGGAGGCTCGAGGATCGAGGATCGGGCAGGGTTCGCACGTGGCCCCCGAAGAGGCCGCGAGGCGCGCCTGGGAGACCACGCGGGCCTTCCCGGGCCGCCTTCGGCACACTCTCTTCCGCCTCCTCCTCCTCCTCCTCCTCCTCCTCCTCCTCCTCCTCCTCCTCCTCCTCCTCCCCCTCCTCCTCCTCCTCCTCCTCCTCCTCGGGACCCGCTTCCCCCCAAGGCGTTTGCAGCAGCGGCTGCCTCTCACGACTCCCTCCGGCGATCTCTGCGGCTGGACTGGGGCGCGCGGGGGCTCGACCCGCACGAGCGTCCCCGCCCCCGGTTCTGCCCGTCTCCCCGGACAAGCCGTAAGCCGGGCCTCTCCCCCTGCAGGGGGATTTTCGACGAGAAACCAAGAATACCCCCAAAATATCAGAACAATGTAACAAAAAGGGGCAGGGTTCGCACGTGGCCCCCGAAGAGGTCGGGACCCGCTTCCCCCCAAGGCGTTTGCAGCAGCGGCCTCAAGTGAACCCCGCCCTCCCTCTCAGAAATCGTGGGGGGCAGGGGCAGGGCTCGCATGTGGCCCCCAAAGGTCGGGACCCGCTCCCCCCCCGAGGCGTTTGCAGCAGCGGCTGCCTTCCACGACTCCCTCCGGCGATCTCCGCGGCTGGACCGGGGCGCGCGGGGGCTCGACCCGCGCGGGCGTGCCCGCCCCTGTGGTGCTGCCTGTCTCTCCCCGGACAAGCCGTAAGTCGGGCCTGTCCCCCTACAGGGGGCTTTTCGACGAAAACCCCAAAAAACCTAAAACAAATTACCCCCAAAAGGTCAAACAGTACGAACAACAAAGACGATTGTTGGATGATTGTTTGACTATGTTTTGGGGGTATGTTTTGTTTTTCGTCGAAAATCCCCCTTTAGGGGGACAGGCCCGACTTGAGACAAGCCCACGGGAGGGGTGCGCCCGGTTGGCCTCTTTCTCCTGTGGGCCCGGACGTGGTGCAGTGTTCAATCTCGGGAACGCCTTCGCTGGGAGAAGGCTGTGAATTCCAAGTTGATTTTGGGCCAGAGTCGATCCTCGTCCGGCGACGAGGGCGCCTGGCTACGGAATGCAATCTCAAACTTTGCCCGCATCGCCGAGGCTGGAGTCTGGTCAAGTTTTCCTCAACTTAAAAATGCGATGATAATGCATCTAATAGTGAGCTTCGGGCCGAAGCGGCCCACTCGGGCTTTCCTGACGTTCTACTGCAAGCTCTCTGCTGGGTGGTGAAGGGAGGGCCCCGCGTAGGGCCGTCCTCCAGGGGTGTGCCGGCAGTACTCTGGAGGCCAACGGGACGGTGATCGCGGAGTGCTCGTCTGCCACATCTCTCACGCAGTTGATGGTGTTGACACTCTTGCGGCGCGCGGATGCAGCGGCGCCCACTGCGTCTCTCAAGAATGTCACCGGCGATGCATCGCTCCATGCCGTCGGCGGCCTCGGCACTGCTGCGAGAGAGGTGCCGCGCGCGTTCAACAGTGTTGCTGAAGGTGTGGTGTCCCAGGACCGTCCGGTTTCCTGGGGCAAGTCTGGGCTCCTGGCCAGTTCCACGGAGCTCGCAGTCTCGGCTGTGCGAGTCCTGGGACCTCGAGCTCAAGGACAGCGACCCGCGCGGCTCTGCGGTGAAGCTCCGAACTGGGTGAAGGTGCTCCTTAGAGGTATATGTTGCGCTATACTGCCCAAGTTATACGTCAATGTGTGTGGATGTGCTATGTTTGTGCACTCTGCCCATAGCTGACGCAGATCTTCTTGCGCACGTGATGGATTTACCCTGATGGCCCAGGAACCTGGAACAATGGCCTGGTGGCTGAGGGACCCGAAACAACGGTTAAAGCTCCACGATGTTTGCAAGCGATGATTCGTTGTGCTCGGCTTTCTTTGGAGAGTCAAGGTGAGAGCAGCTGGCTTAGTCTTACTCGCCAGCATGCTTGATGGACTTCTACTCCTACTCCTACCCCATCTTTTCCTCCCCATTCTCCCTAGCATCCTGGCATTCCGTCTCGGCGTCAGGCTTCATGATGCCTTCCATGCTGAAGCTTTCGTCAGCTCCGAATGCGCGAAAGGACGAAGTCTGCGGTTGAAGCGCAATCGCAGAGCCGACTGGTGGCAACACCGCCATCAGTGCGGCACGGCACGCCATGGCGATGGAGGTTCAGCCTAAGTAAGTGTAAGCAGGAGTGGCCGATGAATGGAAAGTGACGCCGCCTGAGCGACAGTCTTGGTCCACAAGGGCCTGAAAAAGCAGGGCACGGACCTCCCACGACCAGTCGCCGGCGCATTGAACTCTCCGACGCCTTCCCTGTTTGAGTCGGCAGTGGCCTGGTGGGGGGGAGGGGAAGACATGATGAGAAGGACAACGGCCAGCGCCGGCATCAGCAACCCTGGAGCTGCTCCAACTCTGCTGGGGCTGCCTTCGAGCTACGGGCGCAGCGCAGATCTCACCCCGTGACAGCTGGCTTGACCCACAACCTGGGTTCATTCGGGCGGGTGGTAATGGGGGGTGGCCCAAACGGGGGGTGAAGAAAAGGCCCCTCAAGGGGCCGAAAGGGGCCCCTTCGGGAGCCGGCAGGGTCCAAAAGGGGCCCTAAAGTGCCCGTTTGGGGCCCTTCTCCTCCCCCCCAATTGGGGTCACCCCCCATTGCCACCCGCCCATTTCATGGAGTCCCGCTTCTGCTTCCGGCCCCGGCAGGCGAACCCGACCCCTGAAGGAGGTCGCTCGGAACGAACCGCGGCGCTCGGACGTCCCGGCTCCACGTGACACCTGGAGAGCCGCCTGCACCGAGCTTTGGCCGCCGGCGGCTGGCGGAGGCGCAGGAGAGGGGGAAGAGGAGGAAAGGAGGGGGAGGAGGAGAGGAGGCGAGAGTAAGGGGGAGGAGGAAGAGGAGGAGGAGGAGGAGGAGGAGGAGGAGGAGGATGAGGAGGAGAGGAGAGAGAGGAGGAGGAGAAGGAGAAGGAGGAGGTCGAAGGAGAGAGGAGGAGGAGGAGGAGGAGGAGGAGGCGGAGAAGTGGGAGGAGGAGGAGGAAGAATGGAAGGAGGACGAGAAGAAGTGGGAAAAGGAGAGGAGGAGGAGGAGAAGGAGGAGGAGGAGGAGGAGGAGAGGGAGAGGAGGAGGAGGAGGAGAAGGAGGAGGAGGGGGAGGAGGAGGGGGAGGAGGAGAAGAAGGAGGAGGACGGGGAGGAGGAGGAGGGGGCGGAGGATGAGGAGGATGAGGATGAGGACGAGGACGAGGAGGAGGAGGAGGAGGAGGAGGAGGAGGAGTGGGACGGGGGGCGGAGGAGGGAGAGAGGGGGGAGACGAGCATAAGAAAGGGGGAGGGGAGGCGGAGGAGGAGGAGGAGGAGGAGGAGGAGGAGGAGGAGGAGGAGGAGGACAGGAGGAGGAGAAAGAGGAGGAGGAGGAGGAAAAGGAGGAGGAGGAGGAGGAGAAGGAGGAGGAGGAAGAGGAGGAGGACGGAGAAGGAGGAATGATAATAGCTAAGTGGCGATGTCATGCAACGACACAACGCCGCCCCCTGATCACGAACCAAAAGTAGAGCCAGAGGACGAAGAGTAATCACATAATTCGAGCAGAAGAAATCCGACCAAAAAGCTCAAGCTGCACGCGAAGCGTGAAATGAGAAAAGCCGCCAATACTACGGACGAGTATCTCATTGCGCACAAAGGATAACATAACGCTAAACATACATGATGTCAACTCGATACGGTCCACTAGTCACTACAACGATGAAAACACCACTGGACTCGTATCCCGTACAAGCCAACCAGCATCGCACGGCTCCGAACTGAGATCATCTTCCACGAATTGCCTCGCGAACTGCCGACTCAATGAAGAACCTATTTCCTCCATACCAGCTGAACACACCGTGAAACGATGCACGATACACAATAAACAAAAGGGACTCTGACGAACCCGCATATGCTTACACTTTGAAGGGCCATGCACAAGAATGCCAAGCCACAACATGCAAGGGACATTGCAGTAATATTGTGCGCTTCCGGAAACATGCACCACTTTGAGGGCTTGCATGGAAAAGCCCGCGGGACCTCTGCTCCCGCCGCCTGTGGGATGGACCGCGCCGAAGATGCACAGGAAGAAACATCCAAACGTGAACGACACTAACAGATTAACGCGGTGTTGACATGTTCCAGCTTGTTCCGCCTATGCCCAAAGTCCTGTAACGTTCGAAGTTCGGGTCGCTACAAAACATTGAAATTCACATGTGCGCATGGCCCACCCAAACGACGTGCCTCAACCCCCACACTACACAATGCATGACGGTGTTGCCCACGAACGGTGTGTACAGAAACCGTAACCTCGAAGCCGAAGTCCTCGCTTCAGCTACAGCTCGAAACTATGGACGAATCCGCGGCTGGAGCGGCACCCCCGAAGCACCACGACGAGGCGCAAGGCACACTCGGGCCCCGTCAGACGCTCTTCCAGCAAGCCAGCGCGCCCATGCCACGCAGGTGGGAGCCGAAAGGGGGCGCCCAGGAGACCTGGGCCGAGATGATTGAGCCAAGATGGCTTCGGACAGGAGCAGGAGGAGGAGGCGGAGGAGGGAGGGAGGAGGCCGAGGGAGGAGGGGTGGAGGGGGAGGAGGGGGGAGGGATGGAGGGAGGGAGGGAGGGAGGAGGGAGGGAGGGAGGGAGCGGAGGGAGGGAGGGAGGGAGGGAGGGAGAGGAGGGAGGGGGGAGAAGGGAGGGAGGGAGGGAGGGGAGGAGGAGGAGGAGGAGGAGGAGGGAGGGAGGAGGAGGAGGAGGGAGGAGGAGGAGGAGGAGGAGGAGGAGGAGGAGGAGGAGAGGAGGGAGGAGGAGGAGCAGGAGGAGGAAGGGAGGAGGAGGAGGAGGGAGGAGGAGGAGCAGGAGGAGGAAGAGGAGGAGGAGGAGGAAGGAGGGAGCAGGGAGGAGGCCGAGGGAGGAGGCGTGGAGGGGGATCAGGAGCAGCGGCAAGCACACCCGCAGCAGCTGGCCCCGGCGCCGCCCAGGCTCACCGGGGCACCCAGAGGGCCTCTCGAGCGGACCCCCTGCGCTGGGCTCCCTCCCCCATTCCCGGCTCCCCGTGGGCTCTGCTGCCTCCTCTCCCGCTCCACCCCTCCCTGCTCCACCCCTCCCTCGTGCGCAATCCTCGCGCTCCCCTCCCTGCTCCGCCCCTCCAGAGGCGCCCACATCCCCGGCCTCCTGGGGGGCCCTGGGCATCGGCTCCCCGGGCGGTGGGGACACGGGAGCTCTGGCCACCAGGGTGGGGACGCAGACGTCAACAGAAACGCAGACCCTGCTCCAAACACGTCGGGCCTCGATTCAGAACTAGCTTTATGTCGGGCGTGTCCCCCTACAGGGGGATTTTCGGCGTGAAATAGAAGCAAAAACATGATCGACCCACGAACCCGGAAAGGAATATAGAAATGTAAGGCATGGCAACTGTTCAAAGACACTTGATTGGGCGACGGGCAAATGCAATGCAGAATGTATCGATCTTAATGTACTGTGCCAGGGGCTGTGCTGTGCTGCACCGTGCTGAACTGCGATGTTCCATACCGCGATTGTGCTCTACATAGCGTCGTGGATCGAGTCTTCCTTAACATCCGAGTCCTGACCGAATTGATCTGGATCTTAAGCTCGAGCTGACTGAGCAGATGGTAGCTGCCCCAGAACCAATCGACAGAGGGGACATGCCAGGAGGACGCGCCGCGGAACGTCCCAAGGGACGCGCCAAGCGACGTGCCAGGGGACGTGCCATGGGCACGCACCGCGTGACGTGCCAAGCGGACGCGCTACGGAACGTGCCAATGGACGTGCCGCGGGACGTGCCAGGGGGCGCGCCACGCGACGTGCCAGGGGGACTCGCCAAGGGACGCCCCAGGAAACGTGCCAAGTTGCAATGCTGAGTGTATCGATCTTGATGTACCATGCCGAAATCTGTGCTGTGCTGCGCCGTGCTGAACTGCGATGTGCCATGCCGCGATTGTGCTCTAGATAGCGTTGTGGATCGAGTCCTCTTTGCATCCGAGTCCTGACCGAACTGATCTGGATCTTAAGCTCGAGCTGCCTGAACACATAGTAGCTGCCCCAGAACTAATCGACAGGGGGACATGCCAGGAGGACGCGCCGCGGAACATCCCAAAGGACACGCCAAGCGACGTGCCAGGGGACGTGCCATGGGCACGCACCGCGGGACGTGCCAAGCGGACGCGCTACGGAACGTGCCAATGGACGTGCCGCGGGACGTGCCAGGGGACGCGCCACGCGACGTGCCAGGGGGACTCGCCAAGGGACGCCCCACGGAACGTGCCAAGTTGCAATGCTGAGTGTATCGATCTTGATGTACCATGCCGAAATCTGTGCTGTGCTGCGCCGTGCTGAACTGCGATGTGCCATGCCGCGATTGTGCTCTAGATAGCGTTGTGGATCGAGTCCTCTTTGCATCCGAGTCCTGACCGAACTGATCTGGATCTTAAGCTCGAGCTGCCTGAACACATAGTAGCTGCCCCAGAACTAATCGACAGGGGGACATGCCAGGAGGACGCGCCGCGGAACATCCCAAAGGACACGCCAAGCGACGTGCCAGGGGACGTGCCATGGGCACGCACCGCGGGACGTGCCAAGCGGACGCGCTACGGAACGTGCCAATGGACGTGCCGCGGGACGTGCCAGGGGGCGCGCCACGCGACGTGCCAGGGGGACTCGCCAAGGGACGCCCCAGGAAACGTGCCAAGTTGCAATGCTGAGTGTATCGATCTTGATGTACCATGCCGAAATCTGTGCTGTGCTGCGCCGTGCTGAACTGCGATGTGCCATGCCGCGATTGTGCTCTAGATAGCGTTGTGGATCGAGTCCTCTTTGCATCCGAGTCCTGACCGAACTGATCTGGATCTTAAGCTCGAGCTGCCTGAGCACATAGTAGCTGCCCCAGAGCTAATTCGACAGGGGGACATGCCAGGAGGACGCGCCGCGGAACGTCCCAAGGGACGCGCCAAGCGACGTGCCAGGGGACGTGCCATGGGCACGCACCGCGGGACGTGCCAAGGGGACGCGCTACGGAACGTGCCAATGGATGTGCCACGGGATGTGCCAGGGGACGCGCCACGCGACGTGCCAGGGGGACTCGCCAAGGGACGCCCCACGGAACGTGCCAAGGAACGTG